CCCTTCCTCCCTTCCTCCCTTCCTCCCTTCCTCCCTTCCTCCCTTCCCTCCCTCCCTCCCTCCCTCCCTCCCTTTCTTTTTTGTCTTTACGTGATTTATATCCACAACTTCTCTGAAACAATTTTAATGCATTTTGCTAATCTTAATTTTCAGTCTGATTTTTGGCTTTCATGGCCAAATTCCTGTGCCAGTACTTAGGCACACAAATACTTTGTACAAAACATAAAATTAGACTGGATTTTTTTTTTTCCTGATTCACAAGCAACTTTCATAAGAAATCAGGTGCACTCTGCCTATGTTAATACCTTCATCTTTTGCCTACAGGGTGATGTAGGACTGCCTGGCCCTCCGGGTCCCCCTCCATCGACTGGAATACTAGAATTCATGGGATTCCCAAAGGGGAAACAAGGAGAAAAGGTAAATATAACTTAGAAGCCCTCCCATCCCCTTGATACAAAGGCTGAAAAAACTTATTAGACAGTGAAGGCCATTATCTTTCCAAACCATACTCATTTTCTGCACTAGTTTAATCTCCAGAGAGTTATTGAATAAAAATATTGTCAGCTCAGAGCAGTGTGGAGCGTTGTAGAATCCATACCTGTCAGAATGATAAAGCTATTTAAAGATTTCCATTGTTAATCCTAGAATGAATAACCTTCTATTAGTTTTCCTTGGACCTGTGAAATATGATTGTGTAAAAATAAATGATAAAAAACCAACAATTCCTTTCTAAAAAGTAAATAAAAAGCTCCAAGTCTTTTGCTTTCACTCTGACACACACTAACATGAAATAATCGGATTTCTCTCACTTATTTTGTTACTCAGGCATTTACTGAGATACATGTGTAGCTCATCAGCATGTCTATAAAAGCCCTGTGGAACTTGAGTCAAAGATTCTCTGCACACATGAAGTATAGGCGTATTGGATTAGTCTAGGACACATACAGAATGGTGTGGGAGCTGATGTGAGCTTGCATAAGCCACTGCATAAGTCATGGGAGTCACTGTGTTACTTGGTGGAGTTGCATTAGTCTGAGACTCAAATAAGGGCTGTTAATATGGCTCACTCTTGAAGTTGTAAGCAGGATTACAATGACTATTTTATCTCAGCATGTGTTATTAGCCGCTTTCCATGAATTACTGTGCATGTTCAAAGATGACAATCTGAGATGTTCTGTTTTGCCTTCCAGCAGTGGAGGAATGTAGAACAATAGTTCCAAAGTAGTGGTCTTAGAAGCCATGGGAAGTGGTCACAGACAATCCACTGCATGCATCGGCACTGGCAAATGATGACACAAATCAAGCATAGTTACTGCCAAATAAGGCCTTGCCTTAGGAGTCAGGAGTGCGATGGGTGGATTGGGGTAAATCATGCTTTCATGGACAGCGGTTTATTGTGTTTACCTTTCTCCTTTTTCAGGGTGAGCCAGGCCCTCAAGGATTGCCTGGAGACAAAGGATTGCCTGGACTGCCGGTAAGGGAGAGTTTTTAGTGTGTGCCCAGTATGAGTTAGATGGCTCAGAAGCCTCTGAATAGCTCATAAGATCTCTACAGGAGTTTCTAGGCACTTGAATATTTGAAAATCTAATACAAATGTCCACGTAATTTTGTGAAAACTGTAATCTGATCTTTTTTGTCTTGGAAAAATGAAGAAGACAGCGTTGTCCTGTTATAGGTGCTACAAAGCAGCCATCGTTTCAGTACGTCTGAACTGTGGTTTGCAAAGGAAATCTGCAAGTTTTGCTTATCCACTTGATGGTAGTGTTTCTTGATCTCCCACAGAGAGCTAGGTACATTTAAAAAATCCTCTTAGTTTAATTGTATTTAGATGTGCTTTTTGTTTCAAGTTATAAAGCACATATACTTATCTTTATGTCTGACTATCTTAATGTATATATCTAGTTTTAAAATGGGCTGTTTAACATTAGTGCTTATAAACTCAGGAATGTGTAACATCTTCCCTCTATGAATTAACAACAACAATTTATCTCTGGATTCCAGAGAGGTCTTTCCCAGCTTATAACTTATTATAAACACAAGTTCTTTAGATAAGTTTTGGTAATAAATATTTTGTGGAACTTCTGGCCAATGAGATAAATTGTTTGCTGGTTTCTTCAGTGTACAGATGTTCTCAGTAGAATGGCGTGCGAGAACCTGTTCATGAAGCACAGTTTGTGGACATGTTCCATTATGTGCATGTTTATCTTTAAGCATCACGAGAGGCCCACAGGAGCTGGTGGGATTGAGGATATGTGTGAATTTAACCACAAGCGTAAGATATTTCAAGACTGAAGCCTGAAAATTGCCTACCTACTGTAACTCACTGAAATTAAATCCTGGTGTTCCATCTGTGGATTTGATACTTCTTGCTGATGGGAAAACCACCAAACAGTTCCAACTGTTGAGCGTGAAAATTTTTGTGTCATTCTGAGGCTTTAGAAATTAAAAAAAAAAATTAAAAAAAGGTGCTCTGAGTCTTGCCTTGAGCTGCTACTGTTAAGAAATTAGATTTGAAATTACTTCTAAATGTAGAATACGATACAGAATGACAGAACTTCGCTGCTTATAGCACAGTGTTACTTGCATTTCCTGCTAAGAAACGTGCTATAGTCTAAATGGATGAAAGTCAAAGGGAGTGAAGAAGATAATGCACTGCACATAATACCAGCTGCTTGATTTCTTTCTGGGGCAAAAGAAGCCCAGCAGAAACAGTCCATTTCCTTTGCATCTCTGTTGCAGTTTATGTTAAAAGATGTTTCGGTGCTCATTCTGATTTAGGATTGTTCTGAAGTTCCTTTCAGATCTAATGTTAATATTTTCCCTCAGGGTTTTGGTGGTGTTGGAGAAAAAGGAGAAAAAGGTGTGCCTGGTTTGCCAGGTGGCAGGGTAGGTAACCTTACAGAGTCTTTAAATGCCTGTTTTTAAACTAGTTTCATAAAGTGGACTTACCACTAACAGAAGCATTCTCAAAGCATGTAGGAGTCCCAGATACAGAATTGTGACCCATATTAGCCAGCACCATACAATAACATAACCAACAGTTCTTCTCTCAGTAAAGTCTTAGACTAAGGGTGAAATATGAAAATAGATGAGGCAGTCCAAGAAAATCATACATGAGTACTGGAGGACTTGATACTGCCAGGCCTGAGTTTTTTCCATGCTTTTTGAAAGCTTCACAGAGGCTTTGCAGGGACTTAAGGGAGCTTTTACCCCTTATCAGAATAAGCTATGAAAGAACACATGGTTGGGAATGAAGAAGTCCAGCTGGCAATAGAGATTGGTCAAACTTGACAGTGAAGGTGGAAGTTAACAGCACGCTCCATCACATGCCATAGATTCTTCTAGTCACCATGAACTTGCAGCAACGTGGTGCTCATACACAACAGGAAGACCAAAGCATTCTGTTCTGCATCTGAAGAACAAAACTGTCACAGCAGAAAATATTTGTCTCTGTTAAGTTTCACAGCTTTGTAATGACGAACCACCTACCAATCTTGTAAGTTGAGAAACTCATGAATTAGTTAGCAGGATAATGACTAAAGAAGATAAGACACCTTTTTATCAGTTATCCTGTTGAATGCTTTTGACGATGATTGTTAATATTTGGAAGAGAAGGAAAACCATTAGTAGCTTCTCCTTTTGAAATTTTACCTTTTCACTCTTTGGTACTGAGATCTCAGAGCCTGGTGAAGTAAGAGCAGACTGAGATGGAGCTTCTGAAAGTTACATAATGTGTTTTCCTTTCTTAGGGTCTTTTGGGGCTGGATGGATCCAATGGCATTCCAGGGAGAAAGGTGAAATACTCTTTTTATGTTTTACTGCAGAAACCAGCTTAGGTATTATGAGTGCTGAGAAATCAGTGCAATCAGGTTACTGTTTATTCCTTCTCAGATGCTTGACAGTATGTGTAAGACAACAAACTGGCTTTGCAATACAGGTCTAAGCACTGAAGGTGTCTCAGCTATCAAATTATGCCATGTTATTGTGTCACTTCATAAAAATGTTCATGTTTGCAACTTTGCAGGGTCATCCAGGTATTCCAGGCTATCCAGGACTGGATGGAGTTGAAGGCACAAAGGTAGCTTCTCAGATGGAAATACTAAAGCACTGCCATCGTAAATATATTTGCATGAATAAATGTCATTGCTTCAGTCGAACTTATGGGAGGGAGTGGATGCTTAAGATAGCTGTCAGGGCTGCCACATGTCTGCAAATGGAGTGGAAAATGACTGTACAGTAGTTTGCTGTGAGTGATCTTAAAATCTGCCACCAACATTGATATATGGTTGGCAAACATGAGAAATGCAAGCAGTGAAGGGCTTATTTGATGGAGAGCATGTAGTGTAGGTTTATACACAGAGCAGTGCTACTGCATGAATCATCAAAGTGCTGCACTGCTCTGGCACAACGGATTGTGTTTGTAATATGTATTTATGATGGTGATTTGGACAACAGTCAGATTTTGCACTTCCTGTTTTAAAGAGGATTTGATGCTGTGTTAGAGTGAGAGGAATTAATGATACCACAGTTTGTCACAAGTTGCTTGTTGTATTAAGTCATTTTCTGGAGAAATCCATTTCCCCCTTTTTTTCTACAGGGTGAAGTAGGTGACATTGGTCCCCCAGGCCCTCCTATCATTGTTGACAAGGAAGGTGTAGTAATTTCAGGTACACGTTTTTATTTCTTTTTTTTTTTAAACAAGTTTAAAGCACTTTTTTTTTCTGATGCAACTTGTTCTATTTCTGTATTTTAGCACTTCTCCATGCTGTGATTTGAGTCTAGCCTATCTCTTGTTATTCCTCCTTTCATTTCTGTATTGGTAACATACAGATACATTTCATGCCGTGTATTTATCCCTGAATTTGTAATAAATCTTTCATTCCTGACTTGCAAAATGATACATTTCAAGGTACAATTAAACACCTGGGAAACTGACTGTATATGAGCATGGGGAAATGTAGCCTACCTGTGTGTCTTATTTCTGTGTACCAAAGAAACGGATAGCCTGAATGTCATTCTGCTCTTATTTGTCCTTCAATGTGATAGGAATACCATTGAGAAGAGAAAATTAATGCCACAGTTGAAAGAGCTCTGGGTGACAACAGTCTTGGAGTCTGTAAAATTATGGGGACAAGTTGCATAATGCCTCATTCTCTTTCAAACGCAGTCAAGTTTGAAACAACTTCTCACTGGACTCAGGAGGAAGTTTTCCCATCATTGTTAGCTTAGCCTAACAGACCTACTAGTAACAGCTTTGCTGTCAGTGAGATCAGTGACAGAGGTAGTAATCTGTACAGTTCTTCAGCAGAAATTCTCGAGTTTTTCTTCCTTGTCTTTCTGTATTTGTCTAACAGGTGCCCCAGGTGACCCTGGAAACCCAGGAATACCTGGTCCTCCAGGAGATGAAGGGATCAGTGGCCTACCAGGTTTTCCAGGAGCTCCAGGGTTTCCAGGCCTGGAGAGAGGTAAAGCATCTGCTGAGTGACCTTAACAGGTTGCTTTCTGTGTGTTTGTTGTGAGAATGCTCTGGGTGGCAGGCTGGAGATGTTGAAGGTACTGCAGCGAGCCTCTCCATCCTCCTGCTGGCCTGACTTACAGGCTGCTGTGAGGTGCAGAAGGCGAGGAAGAGGCACAGGAAAACCAAGCGTGTTCATTTGGGTGGGAGCAGAATTAGTCCCACGGTGATTGCGATCTGTTTCAAGGCTCCAGCTCTCAATATTTGATACACAGAAGTTGTTTTGTTTGATTTCTATTTCAAATTGAATTAAATGTTCCATTTCAGTTTCAAATTGACAGACCCTTTCCTACAAATGGAACATTTTATATGTTTTTGAAAAGGAGCTTTTTTGATTGAGTCTTCATTTTTCACACAATTACAGAAACGCAGGGGTTGGAAGGGACCTCTGGATCTCATCTAGTCCAACCCCTGTGCTAAAGCGGGTTCCCTGCAGTTCTGTTTTGCAGCAGAGAGCTAGCATGTTGGCTAAGTGAAACCACTGTAGCTGGAACCCATTTGTCCCATCAAAAATCTCACTCGAGTTTCTGTTTAATGTCATTTGTGCAATCCTGGCTGCAGTGTTCCGGACACTGGTACTAAGGCAATTACCTCCACTCAAACTCAATCTGAAAATTAATGAATCATGGTGTTCCATAGTTAATTGTCTCACCTATTAGTGAGATTTCAATACAGCCCTGTAAAGTTTTTTTATATGCAATTAGAAAATGTTCTTTACTAACATGGTTACAGTTCAGGACACAATAGTAATTTTCACAATATTAAAGCTATCAGAATATGTTTGCTGCTGGAGAGCTGCTAATCATGTCAGTGTTGTTTAGATGGAATGGGCCCTGGAGGGTCTCCAGGTATTCCTGGTGTGAAGGGTGAAATGGGAGAACCAGGAAGAGCAACAGTTGGATCACCAGGAGCTCCAGGAAGAGATGGTTTACCTGGTCTGCCAGGAGCACCAGGATTGCCTGGGTCATCACGTATGTACATTTTTGACATCAATTTCTACATTGAATTCATAGTGAAACAAAGCAAATAATGATTTCTGTATTTATTTATTTGCAAGTGGAGATTATTCATCTGTAAATCTTAAAAGCTTGGTTAACATCGCGTTGTAATTGTAACTCATAACCTTTGATATATTTATCTGCATTCCTCTGAAATAACAAAATGCAAATAATAGCATTAGCAAAAACTAATTATTTTTGAGGTGGGTAACCTGATAGACTGAAGCACACGGTTCTAACGGCACAATTTATGTTTGTTCTGTTCTGGTAGGATGAAACGGAGCCAATTCAGATATTGACTTCTGAGAAACATGTTTCAGTTAGGGAAAAGAAAGGAGGTTATATCATATAGCATGCAGGTTGATGGGAGGAAAGCTAAATTCAGTTTCCCGTGGTGTGTACTGAATTAGATAAAGAAGATCCTGTGACTTTTTGAGCACTTGGGGTAAATGACTGATCTTGCAAGTCGGTATGTAAGGATAGGATACCTGAAGAAACAGTTTATAGACACAAGGAAATGTGATTTCAATTTTATGTATTTCCTGATTGGTTTAATTATGCACTGTTTTGTTTGGTAAAGTGGTAAACCTTATGTTATGTTATTCTGCCATAAACTGAGTTCAAACAGTATGTTTTATTTGTTTTGTTCTAGAGAGCAAAAAGTTTCAAAATCAGAGCGTGCTCTGATTAAATGATTTTTCATGGAGAATTAAATGCTGCCTTATCAATAATTATTTGTCAGTTAAATCCTGCTGATTTTTCTGCAGAGTCTGTAAAGCTCTTGGAGCTGTTTTTAGCTGATGGTTGCAGGTTGTTTCCGTGGAAGATCAGATGTGTGCTGATCAGCACTGCATCTTACTGTTGTCACTGAGGGAAGGGCTTTCAGACACTGTAGTGTTAGATTATGTTAGGTCTCGTCCCTCTGCTGTTTCTGTCAGCTCATGTTTCATTGTATTCATCAGCATATAAAGAGATTCTGAGAGTAGTCCTGCAGTTGTGAAGTGAGTAATGGGATTTTCCCTTAACCTTCTGCCACTTGTTCCCTTTCCTGAACTGCATGGACTAATTTGTTTGCCCTCTGTACCACGTTTGCAGTTTGCTTGGTTATTTGGCCTGTTAAATCTTTGAAAAAGTGCAGTAATAGAGCAGTAGAGGAGTAAAGCTCTGTTATATCCACCTTGCAGGATCTTTGCTCTTCTATATGAGGAGCACAAAACAAACATATGTCAGCCCATGGTCCTCTGTTCATCTCCTTGCATCACCACAAGCCATTGCTTGATCTGACACCATTTCTGCCAGTTGCATATCTCACATTATAAGTAATTAACAAGCTTTAAATCAAGCCTTCTCAGGCCTTTTTTCTTGTTTTCCACACACAGGCCCTTCATTTCTCCCAGATGGGATCCTGGATGGAAGGACTGGTGCCCCAGGGGAGCCTGGACAAAGAGGACTTCCAGGAGCTTTGGGTCCAAAAGGTTACAAAGGTAATTGACTCTTGTTTTGGAAGAGCCTTTTAACAATCAATTGACCTCACTTTAGCATGGTAAATATCCTAAGGGTGAAAGTTTCTTTATGACAAATCAGAGAAGCTTCTAGTTGGATTAAAAGAGCAGTAGCTTTTACAATTCAGAGAGAATGGTGCCCAGCACTGCTGTTGAAATCTTGTTTTCTTCTTCCTCTGCTCAGGCAAATGAGCAAATAAATATTTCACACTCAGTTAGCTGATCAGGTTGTGCTTCGAAGCCATAACATGTAATGAGATTTAGAAATAACGTCCTTTGTGCTGCTTTTTTAATACAGGCTGAAAATGACAGAAGAACAATTTTATTCTCCTCTGTGCTAAAAAAAAAAAAAAAAGATGAGAACTTGGGTTTTAGTGCATAACAGAACTAGCAGCAAAAAAAAAAACAAAGCAGTATAACACAGACATCACTGCGCACTGTTGTTTGGATGTGAGCCCAGTTGCAGTTCCAGAAAAGATGAAGTTAACCAGCTGAGGGTCATTGTAACCTTCTGTGAGTGGGAGTATGGATTTGCTTTCTCTGACATGCAAACATACCTACTAAAATCCACAGGACTTTTGACCTAAACTCTCCTAAAACCATCTCCTTTAGAGAGTCTAAACCTTTGGGAAGAGGTATTAAAGTAAGCATGTTATAATACGTAATGCCTAGGATCATGCTGCGTGTGGTAGTTTGGTGGTGGGTGTTGTAGAGAAATTAACCCAGACAGAGTTTCCCTTGCTTGATACTCCTTGAGCAAAGTAGGCAAAACAGCATATCATTTCAGAATGGTTTTGTCCTAATTGACCCAAATCCCACTTACGGAGATCTTGAAGCTGTAAAAGGGTCTTTATCCAAGCATAACTGAGTGGTGACTGTATTTTACAGGAGATGCAGGTGATTGTGCTTGTGATGGAGGAATTACAAGAGCAGGTCTAAAAGGCATCTCAGGTCCACAGGGTCCACCAGGAAGTCGTGGTGTGCCTGGGATTAAAGGTGTTAGTGGAGACCCAGGCACAGTGGGTGCACCAGGACTGCGAGGCCCTCTGGTAAGGGAGGAAGAGTTTTTACTGTTCATCCTTAATTAAAGGAGAAAAAATGTCCATGTGCAGTCACTGGTGTTGATTGCATTGAGACCTGGACACAGTTTTTGTGAAGTTTCTTGTACTTGTTTGGACAAAAAAATAAATAAACCTAGAAATTGATATGTGAAAAGGATCTGAAAGTAGAGAAATTATCATGTGTAAAAATGGAGGAAGAAATGGTTCTTAAATTCTGAGAACTGCCATTTAGGAGCCAAGAGTAAAAGCAGTAACAGCCATTCATCCCAGGGCCTCTTGGCCACAAGCATGCATTAGACCCAGGGTTCTTCCTAACAGGACTGGTTGTGAAAGCAGAAATGTATCTGTATGGAGAGAAAGCCTGAAATCGGACGATGAGGTCTTTCCACACCATTGCTCATAGCTTTGAAGGCTGTGTGTCTTAGATGCAGTCTCATCAGTTGCACTACACTAAAACTTTAGAATTTCTTTATCAATGTCAGTGAATGCAGCACACCAAGTAATAGGGGAGAAGACTTAATAATTTGAATCTGCTATAGTGTTCCCAGATGCCATCCAGGACTGCTGTCACTATAGTGACATGCACCAGCATTTGGCTTGCCACTGTAAAATTGTACTGATTTAACTGAATCACTTGAAAATGATCAAAACCCCACCTCCTTTTCTTTTCTTTTCTTTTTTTAAAGTATAACATATACAATAGGAAACCCTTTGGAAATCATTTCTATCTCCAGTTGTTGTGTCCTGATCTTGTATGATATTTCTAGAAAGCAAAGGCTCTTCTCTGCATATTCATGTGCCTGCTTTTTTTTGCTTTGTTTTGTTTTTTTTTGCTGTTTTTTTAATTTGTTGGTTTCTAGGCTTCAGCTGGCCAGCAAGGTCTTCCAGGCCATAAGGGAGAAAAAGGTGATTCATCCTATGCAACAGGCAGAGGTGCTCCTGGGGACCGTGGTGCCACTGCACCCATAGGACCATCAGGCTTCCCAGGAACTCCTGGCAGGGATGGACTTCCAGGTTTGCCAGGCCCACCAGGTCCACCAGTAAGTTCAAATTCTTTTAGCAGCAGTGCTTCAGAATCCTAATGAGGAGCAGAGAGATTAAAAAGGCCTGCTTTACTAGTCCTCATCATCTGTATTATAAGTCTCCAAACACGTGAAAAATCTCATAGTCCTTGGGCACGAATTTGTCTTGGTGAAGATCAGTGATTGGAACTCATTGTGCCTCTGGCTACACAGTCAAATGATGAAGTTCTTGCAGTGGGGAAGGCCCTAATGCTTTTTTGCACTGAACAAATGAGCACAACCTTGGAACTGAAAAACCAAAACAGAATATTGTAATTATATATATACATATATATGTGCATCTTTCTGAATACGTAGTACTTAGTGTGTTGGCAAATAAAATATGAAGTATTATTTGTAGTAGTAACTGGGTCTTTCTGCATTTTGGAATAGTGGTGGCTGATTTACAGTGATTTCCACATACTTTCCCAGGCTCATTTGAAACTCGCGCAGGACTGACAAAACTTCAAGCATTTGTTAAAATGGCAGTGTATGCCTTCTTTCCACATCTCTTTGATTTTCTGCTGTAATTGTCTTTGTTGCTTACAGGGTGATGGTGGGCTAGGTTTCCCTGGTGAAAAAGGTCTGCCAGGATTACCTGGCTCCAAAGGCCGTCCGGGAGAGATCGGTTCTCCTGGCATTGGGTATCCTGGCCCTGCTGGACTTCGTGGGCCACCAGGTGACCCAGGGATGGATGGTTCTCCAGGACAAGCAGGTCTGCCAGGCCCTCTGGGTACGTGTTTCTCCATCTGCTCTTACTTTGAAAAGGTGCAAAGCTGCTGTGTCAAGTGACAAAACAACTACTGCTGTTCTTGTAACCAAGCCTTAAGGAGGCATTAAGGATTGCTCTTTATGTTAACTAAAGCTGGTGTGTGGGCTTACCAGACTCGACATAGCAGTCACTGCTTTCTGAAGTTGTTATTCTCAGGAGGACACAGATAATAAGCAGCAGATATCTGAGTTGAATACTCAAGTACTAATGGTGTTGAATGGAACCTACTCACCAGAGAGCCATTTTACACCAATGGTGTTGGGGAAGACAATTAAAATGAAGTCTTTAGAAAGCACGACCTACTTGGTTGTCCAGGTAAAAGTAATAACTCACTGATATTTGGGACTTCTGAATCAATTTTCAGAACTATTACTGAAATGAAAAGAGCTCCAGAACAAAGCAGTTAAGCAAATGTTCCCCTATGCATATATTCAAGCAAAGTAATGGAAAAAACACCCTTCTTCCCCAAAGCTCCTTTTGTGATAATCTTTTGGATGTACTTTATCTGACTAAAAGGCTTTTAAGATCCTTTAAATTTTGATTTTTAGAACATATATCTGAGGTAGCATTAATCTGAGCCAGTTACCACCATTTAGGAGCTAATTCTGTAGTTGTAGTACAGACTTCTCTTGAAATAACTGGAAGCGTTTTTGGAGTGGAAAAGCTTGAGTTAGTTTTTGTGATAATCACTGCTGTGACCATGTTAACATGACTTGACATTGTCAGTGACGAAGAGGAATGCTGGAAGTGTTTGAGATCTTTCAAGTAAATCTGATGTGCTAGCAAACTGGTAATGCCTCCTAAGTTGAATGAAAAGGGGTTGGTGGTACAGAATGTTTATAAGAAATGAAAGGCACGCAAAGAGCTTTGCAATTGCTGAGTCATGTTTGCTGAAAGTGTTCTTACAGGCCGTGTGGCTGTTTCTTAGTCTGACAGATTGCAGAAGCAGCAGTTGGAGAGCAAGACAGAAAAATAAATCCTTGCTGTTCCACCTACAGCATATGAATCTCTCTGGCATAAACTCTGGGTTCACAGTTTTTTAAACATCTATCAGTACTTTCTAGATGTGCATTCTGTCATTTATTTTAGACTTTTCACACTGTAGCATACAGTTTATATACCACTTAGAAACATACTCAGGTTTTAAAAGTTAGGAACACCTTTCTGCTCCCACTGGTTTTGAAAGCTCCCGCCCCTGCTCGTAGGCATTCTGAGTCACAGACTGCCTTTTCAATACCTACTTTGCTAGTGGAAGCCATGGATATCCTGCTACTGTTACTCCATGACAGTAGTTGCAATCACTTACTGGTCACACAGTAAGTAGTAGGGATGAGATTAGACTCCAGGCGTCAAACGCTTTCTTTTTAACATCATGTATTTCATATGTCAGCAGTGTTTGGTGTACTTAAGTTCACTCCCAATCACTTACATGTCCTGTGGAAAACATCTGGATACAAAATCTTTCTCTTCTGACCATCTCTCTGTGTGCACCCTCATTGTTTCTTTGTTTCAGGTATCACCTTGCCCTGCATAGTTCCTGGAGCATATGGTCCTCCTGGGACTCCCGGCCTTCCTGGGTTGCCAGGTATGGAGACAAGCTGATTGTAATGACTACCAAGAAGTACCTATTCCTCAGAGAAGATAATACCTGCTAATTGATGTCCTATGAGTGATAGGTATTCCTGAGAGTTAACTGACAGAATAGTAGTCTTTTTCTTCAAAGGGTCTGGGCTTAAATTCCATAGAGGATCATAATGATTGCACCATTTTTTCCCTTTCAAGTAGCCTCTGAACACAAACTCTTTTCTTCTGCCTTTTTTTCTGCTGTTGAAAAAGCCATGGATTTGAGATGCGTTGTGGGTTATGTTTTCAGTGAGTGTTTCTGCACAAGCTTTGCAGAAGAGATCTGATCCCATTTCCCAGTGCTGTGTTTGTGCCTTCCACCGTTCATTCATTAGTATTATTTTAATCCTTAGGTCCCAAAGGCAGCAAAGGCTTTCCTGGCATTCCGGGGCAGCCTGGATTACATGGATCTAAAGGACAGCCAGGGTCTCCAGGAATAATTAGCTTGCAAGGGGAACCTGGTAAGAGTTTTTATCATATGATAAATTTGTACAGTGTTTTATCAAAAGAGTTGATTCTTCTAGGCCACGTTTCCACATGTTAAATTCACAGTGTTCTGTTGTGAACTCCACAGTGCTTCTTTCAGATGCCATCTCTGCTTTTAATATTATACTGCTGGTGTAAGGACATAAGGACAGCCAACAGTTTGTTTCTCCAGAGGCCACCATCATATGCTTTCTAACAGTTTAGAAACTTCAAGTTGATTTTAAAACCTGTTCTAAACCATGTGATATTCTGGTAAAGACACACTGTACATCATATTTGGATTTGTTTTAGCTGTGGGGGTTTCTGATGTTTGTAGTAAATGAAGAGCGAGCTGTGGGCTGTTAGGCCACCATATGTCCATCATTTCTCTGTGAGTATGGCTGTCAAAATCTCTTTTCACTGCATTAATGGGAGGATATGATCTTTATGTAGTCAGAGATCGCATGACGTAGCCTGTCATGCAGTGGAACACTCATACAGCAGTGCTACTTTATTTCTACTTGGTAAGTGACAAAGAGAACTTTGCAGTCCTCCTTTTACCAGGACTGCTGGTGTCTTCTGCCCCTCAGTGCCCAAAGCTGGAGGACAGAGTTAGAAAGGTGTGATTGGTATATTATCTTTGCTGCTCTTGTGCAGGGTAGTGGTAGTGGAGAAACCATTGTTTCTAGTTTGATAGGTTTCCAAACAGCCTTTGCTTGCACGGGTATTTTAAAAATTTTGTTAGAGATGTTACTGGAAGCAGACAGCATGTACTTCTGATGAGTGACATTTACTATCTGTGTCCCTGAGGTTTCCCTGGACCTCGAGGAGAGCAAGGGTCACAAGGACTTCCAGGATTGGATGGGACAGACGGTTTGCCTGGGAAGATGGGTGCTTCAGGCTTAGCTGGAACTAAGGGAGCTCCTGGAGATGTATTTGGTGCTGAGAGTGGAGCTCAGGGGGAGCGTGGCCGACCTGGGCTCTCAGGAGATAAAGGACTTGCAGGTGATCTTGGGTTTCCAGGACCAAAAGGTAAGCACTGATGCTGCTTGTATCTGGGAATATCAAACTGTTTCTTTCAAAAATCTCTCGTTTTTCCCATCTCTTTAAGATACTCTATTAGTGATCCTTTAAGCTGCTTGCAGGTGCATGTGTGGTGGTTTGTTTTTAGAATCTAATGTAACTCAAAGACTTTTACTGGGACTCTCATTTTTATTGAAAAAATGAATCTTGTTTTATTTACTTTGTAACTTCCCACCTCTCTGTTCCCAGGGCTGGATGGGAGACCAGGCCTCCTAGGTGTTAAAGGCGAGCTGGGTAATCCAGGGTATTCAGGTGTCCCTGGATTGCGGGGACCTCCTGGTCCTGGAGGTCCTTTTGGCATTAAGGGAAAACCAGGACCACTGGGATCAGCTGGCCTTGCAGGAGCACCAGGTGTGTAACTTCTTCAAATGAAGACAAGTAGCTGAGCTGAGCACTGCAGTGTCGAGGAAGTGTGGGAGAGATTGCCAGTTGCTGATAGAGAGCTCCTACTACTGTATAGGGGTCACAGTGCAGAATCTGAGCTCTTCACCTCTAACTACAGGAATCCTTCTGCACTGAAATGGTGCCCCAAGGTTGTAAGAAGTACAGCAAAAAGACAGGAGAAAGCACTTTGATATCTTTTCACATCTCTGCATTTACAGGCTGGCTGTATACATTCACTAATCTTCATTTCCCTTTTTTATAACGATTGATTTTTTTAATATATGAGGTTGCTTGAAACGCGACTTCTGTGTAGCTTTCTGAGAAGAAGCACTTGCATGCTACTCCAGCTGGGTCAGAAAATCAATCAATTTCCCTTCACTTTACAGGAAAAAGGCACTTGAATACAACAGTATCTCTCAAGCTGTAGTGACTGGAGTGTTTCATGATAACAGTGTATTCAAGACTTGAGAACCAAGCAGAGGGGCATCTGGGAATTAGTAGATAATGGTCTGTGATGTAATTCTGTCCTAACTTGCAGAATGACAGTGCTGAAACACGATGACAACAAATGAATGAAAGCACTAACCTAATTTGAGAAGAAAATTATAGTTGTTAAGCTTTTTATTAGAATGCTAACATGACTTTCACTTCCCTATTATTTTATGGTTTTGGACTGTATGCCACCTATGACTGTTTCCTTCAACTGTTTTTAAATACTGTCCATTGCTAGGATGATAAACTCCAAATGACTAAGATATTTCAGCTGTGTTCTCTGAATCATTGATTTCTTTGTATCCTTATTCTTCCTGTTTACATATTGTATCTGTTTTTTCCTTCACCATGTTTCTATTCCATTTATCAACTCCCCATTTCTGATGTCACACTGTTTGGTAATGGGTTCTTCACATAGGCTGTCAAGGTGAGAAAATGCAGTGTAGCATAAAAGCTCATGGACTAACAACCTAGCTTTTAATGCTACAAGAATTGCATTGACTATAGGTGATACCCCTTATTATTGCTAATCAAACCAGAAGGCAAAGAACTGTTGTAGTGAGAATGCTCAGATAACAGCAAAGCCTGAAGCTTAAAGGGAAATCCTTAACATGCACAAAATTTAAGCCTGAATTTTCTTTGTCTTTTTAAATAAAGCAGCCATTTCATCTACTTCAAAAAAATACTGGATCGTAACTTCAAATGTTTGAATACAGTGAAGCTCATATATTGGGTGCTGCTGCTGCAAATGTCATTTTTCAGAAGCCACTTGATTATTTTTTTTCTTTCTTTGCTCCCTTTGGATCTAAGCATTCTCTTTTCAATGGTTTGAGCCTTTATTTAAAGTTGTAAACCGTTACAAAGCTTCAGCTAGAAACACTCTGAAGCACTTAGAGGCAAAACTGAGTATATGGTGTTGGTTTTATCACAACACTGTCAGAAGCTTGTTCCCTTAGTGAGCAATTTGCCTTTGAGAAGTAACACTTTAACTACCAAGGTGGAAAAGAAACTTGTGAAAACAAGTCTCTCAAATTGATCTCTGCTTCACTCTAAGGATGGGGTAGGTAGATGTAGCTGACATTAAAGATGCTCCCCATCCTGGTTTGGCTGCCTTGATGATAAAGGTAAGACTGGTGCTCTACGCTGTAGTGTCTGGTAAAGGAGACAAAAATGGACACATCATAAGGGGTTTCACTCTTGCCAGTGGTGTAGTGATGTAGGCAGTAACCCTCTTCATAGGTATTTTATGATTAGATCACTAATGCTTTTGCAGTTCTAAACTTTATGCCTTCTAAGTAGGCTGCATGTGCCTTGAGATCCATTTGTTGTATAGAAAACAATGCTGTGCTTAAAGAGTTTGGAAAGCAGTTCACAAAACTTCCCCAGTGTTTGTATGTCATAATCTGTTGAGTTATTGAGTTCTTTCTTGTATTGATTCAGGACTTCCTGGAGTCAAAGGAGTGACTGGGGATGTAGGTCCTCAAGGCCCTGCTGGTATGAAAGGCTTCCCAGGGCTTGATGGTGCTCCTGGACCTCCTGGGGAAAGAGGATTCTTAGGACCACCTGGACCTTTTGGTCAAGATGGACGTCCAGGTTTCTTTGGACCAAAAGGTATGTATTCCATCTGGGGAACAGTGTGAGGTTACTGCCCAAAAAAAAAAAAAAGACCTTGTTGATTTTAGGCCATGCTCTACAGAAGAGACATTTCTCAACTGGTGGTAGGATATGTTTGTTTTGCTGTTGAGCTGTGAATTATGAATGATGAATTTAATAATCAAATTATAGTCATGAGGAGGTCCATGTAAGGACTAGGGCCCCTGTGGAGAATGTATCATGTACGTCAAGACAGAAAGACAAGACATTTGGAAAAATGAGGAACGGTGAGTGAAGTTGTAAAGTGAGGGAAGAGCCCATAGGAGGGAGAGAATGAAGCACAGACCAAAAGAAAAGTAAAAATGTATGGCCACCAAGTTTAAATACAGTAATTGGTTATTTGGGGAATTCAGTGTTATTTTAGCAGGAGAGCAAAACGGATGTGTAACTGCATGTTGCTCACTTGTGGATTGATTGGATTTTACGCTCCAGTCAAAGCAGGACCACGCTCTCAAAGCCAAAAAAATGCTGGTTGAAAGTATCATGACAGAAGTGGCTCTGCTCTGCTTGCACCATCAGGTTTTACTGCCCAGATGTGGGTGACTGGCTAAACACAAATTGCCTCCACCTGGCAGCTAGGTGTGTATGTAGTGTATCAGAAGAGATTAATTTTCTCTATTTATCGACTTTTCCGTACAGGTGAAAAGGGGTCTGCTGGCCTCCTTGGTTTCCCAGGCATGCCAGGCCTGCCTGGTGTCCCTGGGGTCAATGGGTTTAAAGGAACTCCTGGCACAGTGGGAGAAAAAGGAAGCCCTGGAGTTCTGGGACTTCAAGGTCAAAAAGGTGAGAAATAGTTGAAAGGCATTTGCTGTCTATGCAGCAGAAGAACTTCAGAGGCCTTTCTGTAAATTGTAACAATAATAAAACAATTACAAACTTAAACAATTACAATACAATGATGTTTTCTTCTATATGCTGTGTTCTATCCTTCCATGTGAAATACTTTGGTCTGGTTACCAAAGGCAGCAGTAGGTGTACCTACTGATGAAGTGACATCAGAAGATATGGCTGTTCTGTCTCTATCTGTCAGTTTCTAGTGTTACTCTTTTTTTGTTAAACAATCTTACTGCAAAATAATCCAGCTTCATATTTCTTCAGGTGACAGAGGCGATGTAGGTCCACCTGGTCTTCCTGTTCTTGGGGCTCAAGAGCAGGCACTGCAATTGAAAGGAGACAAAGGAGATCCTGGATTAGCTGGACTTGGAGGATTCCCAGGACCCAGAGGTACATCACAACATTGTAGTATTTGTCATTTCGGTTGTCTGGGAGCTGCGTTTACTCCTGATGAAGCATGGCTTTCCTTTTGACAAAATCTGCAATGTTAGTATTTTCTGTTCTGCCATTCACATTTGAGCAAGATTTGCATATGGCAGATCTAAACTGTGAGAAAACAATTTTAGTTCCAAGTTCTGTTCTGTAGGTAATATGCCAAACCTTTGTCTCTCTAAGGAAAGCTGTGGGTGACGGGTCAGTTGGTCAGAGGAATGGTCAAATGAAATGAATGTATTATGAATTGGAATTGTACCCTTTTATACAAACTCAGGTGATAAAGGAATCCCAGGAAGCCGTGGACAGCCTGGTCTTCCTGGACCTGTTGGTTCAGCAAGCAGAGAGAGAGGTTTTCATGGTGACCAAGGCCTCCCTGGTCCATCTGGACAGCTTGGGCTGCCAGGACAGAAGGGTGCACGTGGTATAATAGGATTTCCAGGAATGCCAGGAGAGAGGGTAAATATCTCCTCAAATATCTTCATCCTCTCTAAGAGTGCTTGGGAAGATGCTGTGTTCTAATCGTACTTCTGCTGTAAAGAGGCTGGCCAGAAGCTGACAGAATTTTTCTTTGCAAAACTTTTTGTTTGTTTGTTCTATGCTGTCGAATGACACTTTGGATAATGCCTCTCCATATGAGAGAGGCAAAATGGACATTTTTGCTGTCCATTATCCCACATGACCCCAACCTAAAATGGTAAGAATAAAGAACAAAAACTAGCTTTGGGCTTTCATTTCAGGGTTCAGATGGTATCCCAGGAATACTTGGATTCCCAGGACCTATTGGCCTCCCTGGTCCAAAGGGTAAGCAATCTTTCACTGTGCATTTGGTCTTTCAGTCTATGCAGTCCTAAGATTAATAGCTAAGACAAATGAGTTCTGGAAGTGTCCATTGCTCTCCAATGACTGGCTGGGAAGTAGATGTTCCCCTGGTAGGTCATTCATTCAGTCTCAAGCCAATTGCCTAAATATTTTAATATCCTTTGAAATCTTGATCATAGCACTTTATGAAACGTGGTGGACATTACAAGAGGCCCTGTTCTCTCTGGTCAACTTGAGTTAAAGATATAAAGGGCAGGATGCTGTGAAATTACAGACAAATGTTTGTCTTATCCTGCCCTGAGTGCATTTGCATGCATTGCTGTTTATAAACATTTTCAAACTCCTCATGTACATTATTTACTATTGTCTTTGTTTGCTTTGTGAATTTGCAGTGTAAGCAAGGTTTGTTTTCATAAACGAGACTATTGAGCAGGCTGAGAGCTGCTCCCAGTCAGGTACAGAATGGTCTTCTCAGCTTGTCTTTCTTTTCCAGGTGACCAGGGAGAGTCTGCTGGTGTTCCTGGCACTGCTGGAGTTAAAGGAGAACGAGGGGACCCAGGATTCCCAGGTAGAGTAGCCCTTAATTGCACTTCAAGACTGCAGAATTTCAGGAATTAAGTTGGATAACTGTGCTCTGCTCAAGGTTGTTTATAATCAGTAAAGTTAGATACTTTTGTCTCGTTCTGTAGAAGAGATTTGAGAAGTCTAGTATCCAGGTAGACCACAAATCTGGCTGATAATGAGCATGTCCTAAACCCATCCAATTTGCATGCTGCATCCCATTTCATTCCCTGAAGAGCTGGGGAATTTGCACTGATGTTTGGTGTCCAGGAGGCTGCTCCAGGGCCAGCAGACCTAAGTGCTGCAGCTGCAGTTTAACATGTTTCTTTTCAGACCTACCTCCACTTACTTTACCTCGTGCTCTGGTATAGTGTATGCTTTTATCGTTTCAGGAGAGAGAGGGAGAGAAGGACTCAAGGGTGAATCAGGCTACCCAGGAAGCACTGGAGTGAACGGGGTTAAAGGTGGCCCAGGAGATCTTGGCCAAGAAGGACCAGCAGGTACTGGACTAGGCACCTAAGTTCTGCAGTTCATTGTGTAACTGTGGGACAGCCTCACCATACTGCTCCTGAGTCCTGGTCAGCCCATGTCAGCTGAGGCTTACATAATAAGGTTGACAAGAAGATGGGGATTTTCTCTGACATTACTGTAAGGTGTCACCTTGTCCAGTTGAAACTGATCCTTTGGGTCGACTGTATTGTAATCCTGCACAAGTGAAACCCAGAAGAATTGCTGTAACAAACAGGGAAGACCTTAAGACTGCCCTAAAATCTCCCACTGCAACACTTTGTGGCTGTGTCTCTGAATAGTGAAGTAGCAAGTATACTCTCAAATTGTTATTGGAATAACAGGTGGAAGGCCAGTGGAAGTTGTTGGAATATTTTACTTGAAAACCAATTTAATTAGTTATTCACTAGGTGAACTTTTCCAGCCTACAGCTTAGTGGGTGATGAAGAATGTCAGTTCTGAGGGCTTTTTTTTTTTTTTCCAAAAATTATCAAATAAACAGTTTGATGGTGCTATTAGTGGTAGTGAAGAAGATTTTTATGTTTTTTGTTATTATTTACATGGTAATTTACTCATGAGTTAAGTTAAGATCAGAAGCTGCAGGATGACGGAGCTGTGAGCTGAACTGTCTTGGATATGTAGAATGGAAACATTTTGGTGCTTGTTTCTAGGAATCCCTGGAAATGCTGGACTGAGAGGGTTCTCTGGGCCACCAGGGCCTCCAGGGCAGCCTGGATCTGTTGGATTCCCAGGAGCTCGTGGAACAGCAGGACCAAAAGGTATGTCTGGAGCCTGCATATGGGGGAGAAATTGGGTCAGGAAACCAGGGTTTCAGCCAAGTGTATCACAGTGGGCAGGCAGCACGTTATGTGTGGGCCAGCTGTGCGTGGGAAATCAGCTCATCTCTTGGCAGTGTTAGTGCAGGCACCAGCTGCTAGAAGTGAGCTGAGGAGTGCTTGGAAAGGGAGAGGTTCTTTCTTGATTTGGATCACTAATGGGATTCCACCAAGGGTAAAACCAGTGAGAGCATGAAAAGTTTCCATGGAGGGGAGCTGAACGAAGGGAAGCTTTATGTGTACTGTGTTGCTCCGTGTCCTGTTTCTCACACCTGTTGTAGTTTCTGTGAAGCATGTTATGCATTTCCATCTAACTAGACTGTTTGCTTATATGCTCACTTAGTAAGTGTTCCCAATGTCTCTTCAGGGTTCCATGGATTTCCAGGTTTAAATGGTCTGAATGGCTTGCCGGGCACAAAAGGGTCTCCTGGAACACCAGGTAAAGGAAATGTATGGCCAAAGTGTCCTAGCTGGGAATATGCATTAAGTGGTCCATTATGAGAGCAGTGCTCCCCACAAAATTGCTGTTTCACCCAGTTGTGGATTAAATTACAGTATCAAAGGAAGGAAAATATCAGAATACTGAATGTGCATGAACAAATTCTTTAATGCCAGTAAGAATAGGATGCAGTCTGTGGAGTGAAGGAGGTTTTTCTTTGGGTAGTTCTCCTTGATTTCCTGAAGGACTGTGTTGCTGCTGGAAAGTCAGTGGAATGAAATCACGAAGCTCTTCCATTTCCAGTGAATGCTTGATTTTACAGGGCAGCATCAAGTACTCTCTTTGAGTTGGACTAAGTGATGCTGTTTCCTTACTGCTCTCTATTATGTGGAACTTAAGAAAAATCTCAGTAAAATTCCAGTCATAGGATGCTTTAGATTGGAAGGGACCTTTAAGATCATCTAGTTCCAGCTCCTCTGCAGGGACATCTCCTCTAGACCAGGTCGGAAGCTGATTTCTTCCATCAGGTCTGAATTCTGCTTTTGGGCTCTTGCTGTACTTTTTCGTATTGTTAACTGTATGAAATAGAATGTGGTTCTGTTTTGCAAAGTGTTTTGCAAAATCCAAAGGAGAAAAACCTTTCCAAAGGGGCTTGTTTGGTTACAATAATCTTGTAAAGTAGCATTTCAAAGCTAGGCTTTGAAATTTTGTATGTGAAAATAGACAGCTTTGTTGTATAAAATTAGAAGGATAGCTGTGTTCTATTAGTGTAATGAATTAACTGCTAGTAGATTATTTGAATAGGCTTTCATCTTTAACCATTTTTAATTAGGTCTGAGTGAAGTTGGACTGAAAGGCCCTGCGGGTCTCCCTGGTCTGAAGGGTGAGGAAGGTTCTCCAGGCTTGGGTAGAGGAGCTGTAGGATTCCCAGGGCCAAAAGGCTCATCAGGAGACATGGGTAAGTACTGATGTTTGTAAGCCTGGTGGAATGTGTTGCAACCCAGGCTGATGGGTTTGCACAGCTAGAGGAATTACCAGAGAGAACTCCTAAAGTCATAGAAGTAGACAGTAGTCTCACAGGTAAATATTAAATCTGTGATGTGGTTATATGGTTGAGAAACTCTACGTAGTTCTTACAGTGTCTGAACAGCAGAAAACAGCAATTTCTTTCCCTTTGTTCTCCTCATTATATACTTCTCAGCCACTCATTCTGTTCATATCAGCTCTATGACTGTGAGCTTGGGATATACTTTCTCACTTGGTATTTCTTATTCTAGGTCCCCCAGGTCCTGTGGGACTGCCTGGCTTGCCAGGAACTCCTGGAGTTTCTCTTCCTTCTGATATACGTGGGAGACCTGGGGATGCTGGCCATCCAGGACTTGATGGGAGTTCAGGTATGGAGACAGACCTCATAAGGGGAGTAGAGTAGCTAAGAGGATTTCTGTTAGTTTTTGTGGGTTATTTTTAATGCGCTTTCTTGAAGAACTCTTAAGGATAATGACTTAGAGTAGCATTGCTTTAATAATCTGATTTTTAGATCAAGGCTTGAGAATAAGGAGCTCTGTTTTCAGTTCCTGCTATTTAATCCTGGTTTGATATAGCCTATTAATAAAGCTCTGTGATCAATACTCATTTCACCCATTGTGATGTTGAAGACAGACTCAGGCACTAAGGTAACTACTAAGGTCCAATGTATTATTTGGACTGTGGTTTCTCCAGCTGTAATCATAGGCTCCTTGTGAAATTTAGAAGTTATCTGTGGGAACTGAGAGGCAGCACAACGTTGTTGCTACTCGAAGATACATAGGGAGTGATTGTTCTAAGGTCAATAGCAAGTTTACCTTGAAGTTTGAAAGATCTGTCATGATAGCATTAGTGCCTATTCATTGCCTAACAGCCTTATCGAAGAGGCTGAGACTTTTCCTGGCCAGACATTTGGAGCCACTGCTGTTGTTCTCCAAAGTAATATGTGGGTCACCAGGCTAACTACCAGCTGGGGTGAGGGCTACATGTGTTCAGGCCCAGGATTTGAAGTAAGGTGACTGTGGTCAAAAGGATTTAAAGGTTTCTCATACCTGCATTTACGTAAGTAACTGAGGCCTGGTTCTTTTCCTTTGGGGGAGGACGAGCTTGGAAATACGAACAGCCAAACAACGACCGTCCACTAGAGTGACCCACTGGGGATAGCAATAGCATTTACTTTGCCTCGAGAGGAGATTGTGCCAATTATCACTTTGTCTCTAGGTCTTCCAGGTCCTCCGGGACCACGAGGGCCCCCTGGACCAGCTTTTGACCAAGGCGACACAGGCAATCCGGGTTTCCCTGGTGTTCCTGGCTTGCAAGGTGGTAAGGGTGATGTGGGACCTGCTGGTCCCATTGGACTCCCTGGCGTATCTGGATTCAAAGGTAATCTTGCCATGAGAAGAGTCTGGGAGTCGTTTGGCAGCTGTCACCACGACAGTACGAATGGTTATTGGGTGGTGTCTCTGACTGCTTTGTGTGTGAGCACAGCTGAGCTTGTTGTCTGTCTTTCCTTTCTGTCCATGCAGGTTTTACCTACGGCTGGTAAAGTGAGGCCAGCTCCAGGTGTTAGTCAGTGTGTCCCACATGACTTTTTAATTTTCTTACTTTTTTTTTTTTTCCTGGGTACTTGATGTCCACATGGAAGAATATTGTCAATCAAGTGTAATTATGTAACAGTGGAAATTCTTGTCTCAAGGCTCTGCAGCCATTCTGGTCATTAATGTGAGCACAGAGTTCCTGAAGGGTCACGGTCCCTCTGCCTCAGAGCAGAAATAGCGTTCTCATTCCTGCCATCAGTGTGTTTCTCAGTGCCCAGCTGAGGAATCAGAGCCTCATGCTCAGCTTCTGAGGTTTCATCTGTGTACCTTTGCAGGTGTCAGAGGCGAGCCTGGTCTTATGGGGATGCCAGGTAAAGATGGGCCTCCAGGGGATCCTGGTTACCCTGGGCTGAAAGGTGAAATGGGACGCCGAGGTGAGTGCCAGAGAACTGGAAAAGCTTTACTTTGTTGCAAACGGTTTGGGGTAGAGAAAGTTCCAGAGTTCTCCTAATTGGCTTATCTGGGGGGCTTCCTGGTTTCTTAAAGAATTGAAATAAATTAGAAAGAGCTTAATGTATCATGTTTCAGAAAGATACCCAGTGCGGATGTATTAAGGCAGCCTTAATTAAACATGCTTCTCTTTTGTGTCAGCATTATCGTCAAAGCCGTGCACCTTTTTGTGATGTACTTCCACTGTCTCTTACACTGTGTGCAGGTCTCCCTGGCCAACCAGGGGCTCCAGGTGTAACCCCACAGGCAGAAGAAATCACAGCCCCTGCGGGCTTACCGGGTCTGCCAGGGATTGATGGTGTTCCTGGCTTTGACGGAGATCCTGGATTCCAGGGCCCGGTTGGAAAGCCAGGTAAAAAAAACCACTCAGATCACTGACATTGTGGCCTTCTGGAAGAGAAATACTACTCTCAGTGCATTATGAAAGCTTTTCTAGCAATGGAAATCACTCAATCCAAAAACATACAAATGCCATGTTTTACTATTGCTAAACATGCTTGATAAATTCTTGTCCATGCACTTTGATAGTGCTTTCGAGTGAACGCTGCAGAATGAGGAGCAGCAGCTGTGGTATAGCTGGTATGATGCCAGCTTTGGTAGCAGCAGGTGGAGTGATCCTGAAAGTGATTCACTACTGAGAATTCTTTGGAGTGTCAGTGGAATGCTGCTACTAGAGATGTGATACAAACTTCAGCCTGGGCCACTACCACTACTTTGTATCTAGAGCTGTTTAAGAGTGAGCTCTCAGACCATGGATAACAGATTTCTGCTTGTGAATATAGTTGTAGGACTGAAGGTATTGGAATGAGGAGGGAACGTTAGTAGTAACCATATTTGATTTCAGGTGCAAAGGGCCTGCCAGGCAGATCTGGTTTGAAAGGACGTGACGGTTTACCTGGATCACCCGGCATAGCTGGTGACCCGGGACCTTTGGGTGCTCCAGGACCTCAGGGATTTGAAGGTAATGGCATGATTTGCAGAGCACAGATCATTAGACTTCTCTTTGTCCACAAATTCTGAAGAAACGAAATTAGTTACCTTAGGGAGACTGGGGATGTACATGATCTTCTGCTTTGTATCTGCAGTGAAGTAAATTTTATCTTCAGTAAGGAAGATTACGTCACGTCATTGTTTTCTGTTGCTGCTGGTGTTTCTCTAGGTACAATTCTGAACATCTGTTGGTTTCAATGTTCTAAGGATGTAGGAGCCATCTTGGAGGTTTGAAGGAGCAAAATGGTACTCACAGTGAGCACAGTTGAGAGGGTTGGGTGATATAGGCATGATGGAAAGAGAGAAGGGTGGGATTCTGCCACAGATTTGTACAGCTGTTGGCCTTTCTGTGTCAAAGAAATATCAACACTAAAGCACTAGAGAGAAAATGAATTTATTATGTTTTGGCTGGTGCTTTGGGATCTTCAGAATATGAGAATGTGGGTACTGTGAGATAGATGCTAACACTCTGGCATTAGAGTTGTTGGGGAAAGACAGAAAATGAAATGAGGTAGGAAATGAATGGGTGCCACAGTGAAGCAACTGCTTTTGGAACTGGTTTGCCTCGTTGGTCACACAGCCCTCCAAACTTGGCCTCTTTGTCATACAACACAATGCCAAAATCAGCTGTAGAGCCAAGTGACACCCACCCTGCCAGTGGTGAGTTCTCTTCTGCCTTCTAGGTGCCGCTGGAAAGCCAGGCGCGCTCGGCTTGCCGGGAATGCCTGGTCGGAGCATGGGTGTCGGGTACACCTTGGTGAAGCACAGCCAGTCAGACCAAGTCCCGCCTTGTCCTGTTGGCATGAACAAGCTCTGGGATGGCTACAGCTTGTTGTACGTGGAGGGGCAGGAAAAATCACACAACCAGGATCTCGGTGAGTTGACGGGCTTCTCTTGGGCATGAACGGTGTAGATCAAAACCCCTTTTGTCATGTGCGGTTTTCATTGATACTGCTGACAACTGCTGTAGGGAAAGTCTCCCTGACCAGAATCTGCTGTGGAAGCAGTGTTACTTGTGCCGTGCTGTGCTACTCTTGGCTAATGTGTGTGAGCTGGAACATTTGGCAGATGCTTGGTATGACTGTTTGCCCAATTCTTGCAGGTTTTGCTGGCTCTTGTTTGCCCCGCTTCAGCACTATGCCTTTTATTTACTGCAACATCAATGAAGTGTGCTACTATGCCAGCCGAAACGACAAGTCCTACTGGCTGTCCACCACCGCTCCCATCCCCATGATGCCAGTGAGCAGCAATCAGATCCCACAGTACATCAGTCGTTGCTCCGTGTGCGAAGCACCATCCCAGGCTGTGGCTGTGCACAGCCAGGATATCACCATCCCACAGTGTCCCCTTGGTTGGCGCAGCCTCTGGATAGGATACTCCTTCCTAATGGTAAGGATACTATTGCTACTGCAGTGGCAGCTTTACATGTTTTTTATATCTCCTCATCACTGAGACTGAATTAGCTGAGTTGCTCATAGCAACTTCTTTGTCAGCAAGCCTGCTGTAGGCCACTTGTTCCCATTTATCTGGCCTTCTCGTATGCACTGCTCAAGTCTGATAGTAAAATCGAAGCAGTAATTCTGCATTGCTACAGATACTCATTGTGCTTCAAAACTTTAAGTGCAGAAACACTAATTAAGCTGCAGTATTTCCTTAATCCCCTCTGTCTTCTGGAATATTATTTCCACTGTAATCCCCTTGAAGCCCAGTACTGTAAGGTCATTAGAAAGCTATAAAGTCAGCATTATTGTCTTCTGATTTTCCCACTTTGCAATTGCAAAGCTGGATTTCCTTTGTACGAGGACTGCATATTCAGCATAAGCAAATGCCTTTGCTTCTTGCCTCTAGCCCTGACTCAAGACTCAGATACAGGTAACCAAGTTATACATTTGGTTGCCCATTATACTTTTCTCAACTACAGAACTTGAAGACTGCCCTATCGCCTCCTCTTCTGTTCCTTTGCACCCACTTAAATGGACATCTTTATTTCAGCACACAGCAGCTGGTGCCGAGGGTGGAGGTCAGTCCCTTGTCTCACCTGGTTCTTGCCTGGAGGATTTCCGTGCTACGCCCTTCATTGAATGCAATGGTGCCAGAGGAACGTGCCACTACTTTGCAAACAAATACAGCTTCTGGCTGACCACTGTTGAGCAGTCGCAGCAGTTTGTTGGTGCTCCTCCCTCCGAAACTCTGAAAGCAGGACAGCTTCGGACGAGGGTCAGCCGCTGCCAAGTGTGCATGAAGAACTTGTAACAGAAATGCAAACAGCAGGAACAGACTTTGTTACCTGAGAGTAGGCATCACTGATGTGAAGGAGATAAATTCATAAACCTGTGTTGTGTGTGGTTAATAAAGGAATCAAGATGCCAGAACTCCACAAAAATCGAATGTCAAATCCAGGACTCCACACACAAGGGAAAGATCGGTGCTCAGAAAGCCATTCTATGGATCATGGTGCTATGCTATTTCTCTGCTGTTGTTTGGGGCTTCTTCTTCATTCATGGCTACCTCAGAAAGTCTCTGGGAGTTCTTTATTCAGACCGAAGCATAACTGGCATCTCACATATACCACTGCCCTGAGCAAGGTGCGCACCAACCAACACGAGACACATCTGCAAAGCTGTGCTTTGTTGGCATCTCTGCAAACAGTGCCTGGCCCAGTGCAAGGGAACGGACACACGTTCTCCTATGAAATGCAGAACTGCCCAAATGTTGTAATGCATTGTAGGTGACTTTGAAACTCTAAGCAGAAGTGGTCGATAACTGATGTGATTAGGGACATTGAGGATGAACGTTTTGCTTTGCTTATACAACAGGTGGGATGTTCTTTGGCTCCACTGGTAGGTAATCAATTCTAATCCAAACTCATATCCACAGATTGATTTTGAGTCCAAACCACCTCCAGCATTTTTCATAGCTCTAACTATATTCCAGATGAAAAGCTTCCTTCAAGGCCTGTCTTTATCTCCTTGTAGTCAAATGACGCGCAGCCACCGGAAACACTTTGTTACTGCAAACCTTCATCTTCCTTCAGAGGTTGCCTTGGCACAGTTTTGGGTAATTATACAAGCTGTGTGTGTATAAAAAGTAGAGGCCTGCTAGCTATCATGCAATGCTTCTGCAAATACAGAAGAAAGCAGTTAGTTATGAGATGTACAGTTATTATTTCTACAGTCACGATCGGTTGCATTCTTCCTCTGGGCTGCTTGCTGTTTTCTGCTCGTTTTAAAAATTGCATTTCTATCATAATCCCACATTCCTAGAGGGCATAATTAAAGAGAAGTGCTACTAATTGTATTATCCTTGTGTATTTTGAGGGAAAGCCGGAAAAAGGATGCTAACAGTTACATGACTTCATTAGGTCGGGCTAGCAGTGTGATTATTGATTTCTCTTTCTAGTGACGTGCACAAAACCCTTGTAGTGACATTCCAGGACACTGAAGGAAGTGCCTTGCAAATACACTATCACCTCGGCTTAAAGATTTTGAAGACTAATTGTCAGATTACTACTATTAATACAAGACTGAGACATGAATTTGAAGTATTTTTTCTCTACTAGTTGCTAGAGGTCTAGCTCTATCCAGCAAAATACTTGAGCAGCTGCTGTTTTTACCTTCAGTGATTGAGGGTGGAACTCGGTGATCCATAAGGTCCCATCCGACCCAAAGCATTCTGTGAATCTGCAGCACTTATTTATACGCATAATACGATGTTATTTTCCCAGATTGGAGTCAGAAAGCTCTGTGTGTTCAGTTTGAACCACAGTAGAGATGAGCAGAGAGTTTGTGACGAGAATTTTTAGTCCTTTATTTAACTCTTCCCTGCTTGTGAAAGATCCGCAGCTGCTTTGGATGTATTTTGCAGTCAGCTTTTAAGATGTTGTAGTGCTCCTGCCTGATGATCCTTCAGTGCAGAATATCGAATTTACTTTCAGCTGTCCTTGCGCAGACTGAGCACATTGTGCTCCCAGTGTAGGGAAACACAAGGTGAAAAAGCTGCTGTGTGCACACTGCAGTGCTCACCATGTGCTGAAAAAGTGCGCAGTTAACTCTGGCAAGTTGTCAGCAATTGGGTTCCCATGGTGCTGTAAGTGTCAGTCAGGTGTGTTTGCAGACTCGATTTTTGAACAGAAACACACAAAGAAGTATTTTTTTCAGGATTAGAACTTCATGCATTTAACGTGCCAGTATCTCTAGAGAAGTAGTATGCTTCTACTGCAAGAAGCTGGCTCTGTTGCTATCGATACCCGAACTTCCCTTGAGTTCCACAAATGGCCTTTTCCTGCTGCTCACCCAGAAACCACGCTCATGCAGCAAACAGCTTGCAGCTCAGGAGGAGAGCTTGGCCCTGCAGAGCTCCTTCAGCTGCTCAGAAGGCATGCAGCTAATCCCTGGGTAGAGGAGGAGAAGTGCTGTTTTTTCTAAGCGTATAGTTTCCAAACTGTGTTTAATAAACATTAAACAGGATGAACCAGGCTCTTCTAAGCTCTTTCCTTTAATATCACACTGGCCTTGTTCAGGAAGTGCAAGTGACAGGAGACAGCATTCAGTATTTCTCCATGTGTTTTTATTGGTGAAGATGAAGCTCTGCAATTCACGTTTATCGCACTGTCATGACAAAATGACCACCCTGGGGACTCCCTGGTAGACCTTTAGCATGGAGTAAAAGATCTTTGCCTTAAATTAAGTGTTCTTAGGGCTGCTAGAGACATACTCTGCCTTTTAGAAACACAACCGCCCAGGCTGCTCTGATCAACCTGTAACATTAAGGCACTTAGACCACAACAGTTCTCAAAAGGCAATAACTCAAGTAACAGTGATGTAATCTGTCTATGTGTATATATTAAGTCTTAACATAACCTGCTTTGCATTTATTTCACACAAACAAATTAACAAAATATAGCAGCATACAACCTATGAAAAGCTTAAGAAATTTATTAGATGCACAGATAAAGTGCTATAACAGAAGTCTGTGTAAATCTACTTTAAAATAAATAAGGTACAGTTAAACCACCTTTGACTCTTTTTAGCTCTGAAAGAAATAACCTAAGTTTTAATGATTTTGATGTTAAGGTCAAGGTGAAATATTCCATAACTGTAACAGTGGTTGTGATCTGTATCAACTGTCTTGAGTCTCCCGTTCCTCTCGAGGTCTCCCAGAAGCAGGAAGGCTATTGCAAAATGTATACATTAGACACAGTTCCTTTTACAGAAACATTTTTGTAATAAAGTGTGGTTGCTCAGATACATGTTAAAATATTTAACAAGGAAACAATTTTCTCATGATCCAGTCGATCTTTTAAACAAGACAACGTATTTTTTCCTATGATGCAGCCCACAGGAGGGAACAGAAGTAAACATCCTCCTTAATTGAAGACTGTTTTGCTTTAAGAACTAAACTATTGCATTATTACGAGAGCAAGAAATATCCATTTGGGTTATCCCTTTCTCCAAACAAAGAGCCCAGTGACTTGCTTATTTTTGCCTTAATCTCAAAGGCCTGTTTGTCTTCAGGTAAGATATTGAAAAGAGATTCCCATTAAGCATCTTACTACAAGAGCTTTTATTGCCTTTCCATCTGGGGAAGCTCTTGTTAAACTGTCGTTGGAGTTTTGGATGCAACTTGGATTCTGTGCTCTGTTTTTTCCACAATTTCAGGCACTTTGGGGCTAACATGGCTGTAAGTCAATGCAATGATATTAGCGATGCGTTCAGTACTCAGAAGAGTCACCGCTGTTTCCTTCATACACTCAGGATTTCAAATTCTTCTTCCAATTCAAACAGCTTGTCAGTAGATTCAATGAGTTCTGCAAAACAGAAGTAATGCTCAGTAGTGCCTGACTATTTACCTACAAGAAAAAACTTTGGAAAACGCATTGCAGAAAATATCTTGTAAGAGTGATAAAAATAAGTAAATCTGTGCTGGCAGTTGTATGGACTGTTTGGACAGGTGGCAGATAGGTACTGCTTGATTAGGAAAGCACAGCTATTCCACCTGCAACTGTTCTTCTCTTTGCTAAGGAGGGACACTGAGCTGCACAGGAGGGCTCTCAGCCCGCACCATACCTGCTCCTGTAGTTGTCACTTCTGGCTTCGTTGGAGGTATGAATGGAGGCCAGTGGGGCGGGTGCTTCTGGACGAGCTCAAACATTCGAAGGCTCTGCTGCTTTAGAATCTCCTGAAGACAGAATACTTTCACTTTAAATGCTGCCTTGAGAGAACCCTGAAGCACAGTTAAGTGTCTGTTCAATAAAAACATCCTTTCACTACATGTATCTATCAGGAAACAAAGGCTTTATGCAGACATACTGTGAGGTCCTGTTATATTTTGAGTACCATAGATTTCTAACATTTTCCTCGTTAAAAACACACCTGGCAGACAGATCTCTTGAACTGTACTACAAGATATCACTGTCTTATAACCAGTTTTGATTTCTATACACCTGTGATTTTGTTTACTTGTAGCAGCAGACACCAAGAATGCTCAATGTTTTCTGCCTCTTAGAAGAAAAGTACCTGCGTGGAACTCTGCGATAAAAGACAGATCAGCTCCAAAAAAACCAACAGATTTGGAAGATGAGTTTTGATCAGGAGAAGCAGGCTGTTACTGAAGCCAAGTGCTACAGCTCTTCAAAGAGATGTCACCTCCTGATACATATTAGTTATATACAAACTGCTTTCCTCAGCTGTTTGCTTTTTTGTGTTTGTTTCACAGAAATGCCTTTAGAGGTGTATATACCCCTTTAAGGGTAGCTGTTTCCACCCATTTTTCAAGTGGCAGGGATCCTGGCTGCCAAAGCACTGAACAACTTCTGCTTAACAGCACAGCCCCGATGTGTTAATGCATTCTTCTCCGTGGCTCTTTTCATGTGAATACAGAGATAAATGTAATGGGAGTTTCTGGTTTAGGAAAAAAAAACAACCAACAACCAACCAAAACCATGAATTCCTACAGAGTGAACAAAGATGGTCACTTGCCACTGTTACCTTTTGTACAAGACTGCACCAGTTATCAAAATCACATTCTTCTTTGCAAAAGAAGCCCTGAGGGGGGAAAAAGCAAACAACAAAAATACAACAGAGTGTTATTTGCACATTACAAATCCGCAGTGCAGCAGGTAAAGCAGTGTGAGCAGCAATATGCTGCTATGCTGATTCCCCCTATGGCCACTCAACGAAAGACCCCAAATATGTGGCAGTTCAGGGCAAGACCCCAAGAGTGGCACAAGGCCCTGCAAACCCCAGCAAACCAGTCCATCAAAAACATGCAGCAGCTGCTGTGTGCTGTCATGGAGCCACAGCCAGCTCCAACAGCCCAGGCATCAGCCTCACATAAAGAACAACCTAAGGACCACTTTCTGTATGGTACCTGTGCTGGAAATATTTGTTCTTCATTCTGCTTTTGTCTGGCTCACTGCATTATTCCAGATGTTGCAGAGTTACATAGATAAGTATTTTACAAAAATGAAAATACTTCCTAGAAGTAGCAGTAATAACAGCAATATGTCAGTGACTGAAAGACGCTGGTGTCTTGTTTAAAGCTATGGACACACATCTCATAGGTGACAACTGCCAAATCCCCACCAGAGGATAATGGCACGGGGTCACATTGCATTTCTTCAGATACAACAGGTGCCTACAGAACGCTGTAACGTATGTTGGGTGACTGTACAAATAATTCCATTCACAGATATTTATATTACCATGTAATAAGTAACTTGGCCAGAGTGACCAAGCTTATAAGACAGCAACAGAGTAAAACAAGTAAGCCTGATTCCATTCCTTTAACCACTACACACATGCTGCTTGCACACAGTAAATGCACTCAGCAAAGAAACTGAAGGTAGCTCCCTGCCATGCAGACAGACAGTGCCTGTGTGACCTGAGATTAATGCATCCTATGTAGTTAAGGTAGAGACAGCTATGTGTTGGAGAAGCAGCTATGTGATCTTGATGCTATGTGTTGATAAAAGACAGCTTCGTGATCTCGATCCTATTCAAGAAACACTTCTTGCCCTTAGTTTGAAATAAAATACATGCGTTTGTTACTTTCTAACACCTACTAAAGCTACTGAAGGGTCCAAATTCATGATCTTCATTCTGTGGGGGGCTTGCTGGCAGTGGAAGCTCTGGTCATCAACTGTGCCGTTCTCTTCTGAATCTACAAAGCTTTGGGTGGTGTGAGGGTCCAAATAGATCAGCTCATTGCCTGTATGGATGACACCCATATGTTGAAAACAAACAAGTGACTTTAATGAGCACTAAGTTAACACTGACTGCGGTGACAATTTATCCAGGTCTTCTGTTCAGGGATTCCTGAGGAGAATCAAAAAGCTTAGGCACAATGTTTCCACAGGATATTTACTGTAGCTTTCTATTGTGACCCTATTACTGCAGATTTTCTGGTTGGTATGTTCCACCTTTCTCACATACTTTCCTTTTCCCATGTGAGATCCAGTTCTTTCTTTTTTTTAAATCTCATCTGCTGTAATCCCTAACATTCCAAGATCAAAAGATACAGGATGGCCAGAAATTAAATCTGTAATCCCATTAGGCATTCATTCAGAAATTGGAACAAAAATGCCTAAAACAGCTCAGGTTTTACAAAAGAACAAAAGGTCCATAAAACTATGGGCCAAAATCTGGATGACTGTATTTACAACAATTAAAAATGATACAAGAAGATCTGCAAAAAGGTGGAAAAGACACCACTATCAGAACACATATGAAATACAAGAAAATGAGAGAAGTGACAGCTGCCCAAGATACTTGTCGAATGCTATCGGCACCGCTGTGCTGTTTTTGCCTGTCATTACTTCCTTTTGCACCCAGCTTGGCTGTTACCTTTCTGCTTTGTAAAGGAACACATCATGCTGTTGCTGAAATCCTTTAGGTACGTTTCTTCATCTCTTTGACTGTACTCTGACGTTTCTTTACTTTAGAGATTCAGAATTAAACCGCATGCACTCTCCCCCCAGAAATTTCTCTTTTGATCATCTGCATATTTTGAGTAAGTTTCCCTTTTTCCTTACCTAAAAATCCTATGAAATAATAGGCATTATTTGGTTTCCCTCCTAATGCTCCCAAAGACTGTGGCATCTTAAAGCATTCCTAGGAATTCAAAGGGAAGAAAAGGAAATTATAGTTGATTTGTTTACTGATCTGACGGATACTTGAACTTATTTGACGATAACAACCCGTTCATTGGGGAAAAAAAACTTACTTTAAATGCATCAATATATACTGGATTTATGTGATTTATCCCTAGTCGTAGAGGTATAATAAGCAAGAGGGGCTTCCAGCCTGTACAGAGTCCTGCTGTGTTCCTGTTCCGGCCAAGAGCACTTCTGTGCAAATGTGCACTGCTGTGGGCTGTGCTGCTGCTCTGGGGAGGGGACCAGCACATCTTCTCTGTGGGAACAAAACCAGAAATCAGTCGGTGCACAAAGGAACACAAAGTACATCTTCCTCTCTGAGATAAATTAGGCTGCTGTGCCAGAGATCTTCACAGAGCTTCCAAGATAAAATGAGCAGGGCATGGAAATTAATTGTAGCTGTTTAGTGGAAGTAATTCTAGCAGCCAGTCTGTGCTGGCACATCAGAGTGAGACACTGCACTGATGACTGGGAGATGAAAATTTTAGCCTGACATTTATGACAGTTACTATTATATGTTGGTATTACTAACATGCTCAAGACCTGTCTGTAAAACATCACAGAACTGAAACGGCAGAGATGATGACGTCAGGAACTCCTGGAGGAACTCTTTGCACCCAGCGATGTGAGCATAAAGGAAACAGGGACTGAAGTAGAAGTGGACTGTGGTTAAGCTTCACCTGTGAATCCACCTTTCTTAGGACTGTAAATTAAGCACGGCCGTGCATTTCTCAGTGCTAGGATCTGCTGCTGCTTTCTTTTTTTGCCTACAAAAAGCACAACTCTTTCACAAACCCTGCATTAAAACCAATTTACATAAGCTGCAACCTCATTCCATCTCTGGGCTAAGAGTTT